GTTTTCGAGCTCGAAGAAGAGAGAGAGTCATACCACAGCCAGCTCGCGCTCTTCCGTGGCCGCTTGTCACAAGAGTCGTTTTGGAAGAACGCTTGGAAGCCCGTGCCACTCATTGCATTCCCGGCAGTGCTCTTCAGCACCATCGTGTATGGGTCTTACTTTGTAAGTAAAGCCCATCATCTTTCTGCGAGATGCGCGCTGATTTTCATCTTCCCTTCTAGACTTGGCTGCTTACTATCTCGGTCCTCTCCGTCAACATCTTCTCTGCGCCACCGTATTCGCTGAACCCGGCACAAGTCGGTCTTACCAACCTACCTCTTCTCGTTGTCGCACTCATTGGTTCGCCCCTCTCCGGTTGGACAGCCGATGCTCTCGCAAAGTTCATGGCCCGCCGCAACAAGGGCGTCTTCGAGCCCGAATTTCGCCTAACTCTCATGGTACCTGCCGTCATCTTCGCTACGATCGGTTTCCTCGGCTTTGGTATGAGCACTTCAGCTGGCTACCCCATCGTTTGGCCGTTGGTATTCATGTCCATTCACTCGCTCTCCGTGCCGTTCGCGTCGACAGCCAGTCTGACCTACGTCATTGACTGCCACCCCAAAGATGCAAACCAGGCTTTCGTCACGATCAACTTCACGAAGGCGGTGTTCACCTTCATCGCGACAACCTACGCGAACGGCATCATGGCCAACATCGGACCACGCGCAGTGTTTGACGGGATCACGGTCATCAACCTGGGAATCTGTGCGCTTACCATTCCGGCGTATGTGTTTGGCAAGAGGTTCAGGAGTTTGGTGGCGCGGAGCTCATTTGGTAAGAAGATCTCTGGCTGAGAGCTTGGGACGTGCGTCTTCTACTGCGACGACAAGGCATGAGTTCAAAGGGATGGCGATGACATATGTAGTTTCATGAATACACACAGTCGTTATAGATCTGAATTATCACAAAACTACCGTATTGATGCTGAGACACACCAAGCTTTGTGCCACTTGAGCGAGCTGGTTCGCGTTGGCTTGATCAAAGGAGCAGCTTCGAATTACAGGAGTTGATACCGTGGCTTTGAACGCGTACTGTGTTCTCTGACCTGCGTAAGGGGACATGGTGACTCAACACAGATTAGGTATGATGCAGTAAGCAAACTTTTGAATTTGAAGACAAATCTTTGGTATCGTGAATCTAAATATAATGCAATCACTCCCAAACGCCGTTGACAACTTCTGTAGTGCCCTGTGCCAAACATCCCACGATCTCTTCATGAATGAGCACATGCGTCCCGCGCTTGGTGCAAGTTCTTGCACGATGGTTTTCGTCTTGCGATACATCCAAGCGGTTCTCTGCGCTCTGCGTCGTCACTCCTGACGGCGCGATGTGGTGGCGCAGGTCTTCGCGTCTCGGCGTTCATGTCGCATCAAGGTCCATCTGCTAGACAAGAGCGACCTGCTGTTGACTGTGACGTCCTTGAGTCGTATGTCGGGCGAGCGTTATTCGCTGAAATTAAATAGTAGCTCGATGCTTCAGTTCGTCACTCGTCTCGCACCCCCGTCCATCTCTCTAGCCCCTGGTCTTTGCGACAACATCTGTGCCATGGACTGCGACGCATTTGAGGCTGACGAAGTTGCGTATCTGGGGCTCAGTGGTGATGTTAGGCTGGCTCGTCGTGATGTCGAGATATTGATGGATGATGGAGATGATGAGGTTGCGTTCTTAAGGAAGACGCGCGCGGGTGGGAATTGGCTGACTGGCGGCATTGTGATGGTATATGCGAGCTGTCTTGTTGGTCTGATGTGGTATGCTCGAGGATGAAACGTGGTGATCGTTCGGTGGTAATAAGAGCAGGGCTTGTTGTTTGATGTCGTCGATACGATGGCACGATGTGTAGTAACCGGATGTTGGATGTCTCTTCTCAGCTGATGAAATGTCTGTTATAAGCAAAAGCGTAGCAAGAGCAGCAACCACTCATCTTATATCCATCGACGAATCCAAATTGACTCACCCAACTAGACCCACACTAACTCTCTACCCTCGGAGTCACAAGCAACTCGCCCATCCACGCAAGCCTCTAGCGCGCGTGCCCCCCAAACCCGCCCGCGCCGTGACATGTGAAGCCCTTCCCGTTTCGAGCCATGATCACCCCACGGCATCGTGAGCATCACGTCTTGCACATGCGGATCCGGACCCAATCGGCGGACAATTCTCGTTCCAAAGGAGACGACTACGACCAACGCAGACTAAACGACATGCACGCGATCGTGGGTTGCGTCCAGCTCATCTAGCTCCCGTTACCCCGGGTGGGTTTTCCGTGTGCGACTACGGTGCTTTGTGCAATTTGTCTTTTCCCCCAGTTTGCGCGAGCCGACCCTCCACCTCCACCCCCCAAACGCCCGGAAAAGCAAAAAAGGGCCGAGAGGCGCATCGCATTGCGCATTGTACTTGCAGCTTACACACCTACACAATTCGAGAAGCAGCCAAGGTGCCGAGGCGTGTGATGGTAGTTGGTGCGTGTTTGAACTTTGTATGGTGCTCGTGTGTGTGCTTGTTTGGAGATGGGAGGCTGCGACACGTCATGCACGGAGCCTAAAGTGCGGGGTGGGCCTCCGCGAACACTGGCTAGGGCGAAGCAACGGCGTCTGGTTTGACGGCCACAGAGCTTCTAGCATGCTTCCACCGAATGTTTGGACAAGTTTTAGCCTTAGATGAAAGATACGACGCGAGGTAGATCACCGACGTCGGAGGATCTCCCGTGAGTCTGGATACGAGAGATGTTGTTTTGAGCGGAGTAAGTTTAGATGGCATGTACGACACTGGCATGGAGATCGCGATGCGGGGCAGCTGATGGATCACAGGTAACCTCAGCGAACGGTGTAATACATGCTCTGCTCTACAACGTTTCTTTTGCGGCTTGCACTAGCGCTAAGATATATGCGTGTACTCATGTATACTGCGGGTGTAACTGCAAAGCAATGCATGTGAGAAGCCAGACTCCGCGGGTATTGAGAAATCAGCCCGACATGTGAGCCCAGTCTCGTCATTGTTGCGGTGTAACGGTGTTCCAAGGCTGCATCCACGACAGCAGGTTCAGGCAATTGTCAGGCAAGTCGTAGTCAGAGCAATGACATTACTTTTCCTATCGTACAAGGTCGGCCAACTTTTAGACGTCGCAATATAGTACATCCAATTCATTATCCAAGCCTTCTGCATCCGCAGCATTAACGTATCTTGCAGCGCACAACTGCGCCCAGGTATCCGAACATGCAAGCATATCCACACGGCACGCATGCTGACATGCCGTTCGTATTATCCAATTGTCCCAAAGAATTCAAAGTCGAGTTCAGGGGATCTAAGCTCGGCCGCTGCGGACGCGCTTGGCTTCGGGGCGCTGAAGGTGCGAGGCTGGGATCCAGCTCTCATCGTAGGCCTTTGCGCCGGAAGTAACAGCAGGACCATCAGCACCAACGACGGCAACCTGGTCAGCGGGGTCGACCTTCTTGCTCTGGCCCGAAGACGCCTTAGCACGCTCACCACCCTTGCCGCGGCCCTTCTTCTGCGGGAAGAAGGTGGAGATCCAGGTGTTGTAGATGAAGTACACGGTTCCACCGAAGGCGCCAAGGAGGACGAGGTACAGGAAGATGCTAGGGAGAAGTAAGTACATGTGTCCAGGCTGAGTGTTGGATTGCTACGTACATCTGGGGGTCGAAGAAGCTAGTGGGCGCCTCAACAATGCTGACAGTCTCGTTGTAAACCGGGACGGTGATGAGGTTGTTCTTGCTGTCCTTCAGCACAGTCACGAGCTGGAGGCGGAGATTCTGGGGGTGCATCTCTGTCGTGAAGCTGTAGGGAATCGTCTCGTTGGCGCCAGCGGGGATCTGGATGGAGTAGCGCTGGCGAGTGAGGTTGCGAAGGACCTGAGATTCTCCCTTGATCTCCTGGATCAACGAGCCACCGACAATGGTGACGCCGACGGGGGTTGGCTCATTGTTGACCACAGACAGACGCGCCTGGGTGGCCTGGCCGTTGACGAGCTTGACGCCGAAGATCTCAGACTGGGGAAAAGAGACGGAAACGGCGACATTGAGGTTGGGCGTTTGCGGCTCGTCTACTGCTTGTTGCACCTTCTCAGCCTGGAGACGCGACCGTTAGCCATCTGATGTCATGCTGCGTCAGAAAGTTTGGAGCTTACCGCGGGCTCAGCATAGGTGCCGAGAGCTCGGAGAGAGAGCAGGAGCAGAGATGAAAACTTCCAATTGACCATGATGAAGACGACACGAGACGGGGAGAGGGATGAGAGGAGGAGGGACGGCGTGTGGGAACAGATGGGGTAATTCGAACGTGGCTTCTGGGAAGTGACGTCCGGGCGCAGCTGCCTCTTGGCGTCGGAGGACGGAACTAGAGCCGCGGCAATGCGACGCCGTCTCTCCACCTCCTCTCCTACAACGAAGATGGTGGTCAGGTGCACTGCAGCCTACATCAGTATGAACACGAAATGTCGCAAAACCTGAGCGCAATGTAGACTTCTAGGTCATTTTATTTCTATCATCCTGGCGTCAAGATGAGCTATCGCTTGACACTCTCTGTGGCTGGCCCCTTCCAAGTATAGACTGTTCCCTGGTACGCGCCATAACGCGTTGTACATGACATCCACGCCGCAAATGTCGCTCCTTCTATTTCAGACCCAGCGGCACCCATGTTTCTGTAGTTTGCTATAATTGCATATACACCGCCTTGGAGTGGCTGCCCGCCGGCGTTGCGCATGGCTGCATACCGTTAAAAGCCAGACTGGCCGTCTTCACTGCGCAGTGATATTTAATGTCACCGCAATAACTCACCTTCACTCGCGGTTTCCTATTCGGGCTTGAAAAATCTCTACTAACCGCAAGAAGAGCGCTCGACCCTCCCGCACCTGCTTTCTCTCCACCCTCTCTCATACACGTAAATCGCAGTCATTCAATTCTCTATCATTCCAGTCACACACCTGTTCGCCGGTCGCCTACGCCCTTTGCGACATGTCGCCTTCGCTCAGCGGCCTTGGCCTGGCTTCACCGGGCCCCTCCGACGCCGATTTAGCAGACTTTACCAGACGCTTCGAGCAATTCCAGCTGTACGAGGATGAAAAGGCGAAGTTCATGACCGTAAGTGCACTGTAACTGTCACTATCACTCAGTCGTGACTGACGCGCAATAGGAAATGAAAAATCGGTATGAATATATGCACCAACAGTACCAGATATTGGCCACCGAACGCGACCGCGATCGCAACTGGATCCTCGCATGGCAAAATGAGAAGCAGCAATATGAGAGGTCGCACCGGAACCTGCAGCGGAATATGGTAATCTCATCCAGCCACACATCGCTTTGGAGCTGACTTGGACGTGACAGGCTGAGAATCCATTTGTTATGGTACTGATTGACGGCGACGGCATGATTGTGAGCTCCACGTACTGCGAGTTGAGTGCAGTCTGCTGACTACATATCAGTTTAGTGACGACTTCCTCCGCGAGGGAGAGCAAGGTGGCCGCCGGGCTGCTGTCCAATTGTTCGCCGATATCCACGAGTATATCGAGAATGAGTGCCAAGATATCCCATTCGGTTACCGCATCGCCTGCCGCATCTATGCGAACGTTCGGGGGCTGGGCGACGTGCTCGTACGCAGGGGGATTTATGAAGACATCATCGAGTTTGAGGACTTCGTGCGTGGATTCACGCGGGGAAAGACATTGTTCGACTTTATCGACGTCGGTGCGGGAAAAGATCGCGCTGACGAGAAAATCATCGGTGAGTACCACTGTCCTACTACATCTCCAGCCCCATGTATTCCACAAAACCCACTATCCTAAGCTATTTCCGAGTCTAGACGTCCATGTAGGCTTCTGACCGTACTGACAATCTTAGAATTATTCAAATTATACTCCCAAGATTATCATTGCCGTCGGATCTTCTTCGGGTGCTCACACGATAATGGCTACGCGCGAACGCTTGAGCAGTGCTCCGATCGCCTTCAGGTGACAAACAAGGTGGTTCTCCTTGAGGGTGTTCCATTTGAGAAGGTACGTGACTGACTCGCGCGAGCCATGAATCCACGAACACTCGTACAGCCCGGACGCTAACCTCACCTCTCTGTAGGAACTCGTCGGCCTGCCGTACCAAACGAAGAAATTTCCAGGTCTCTTCAGGGAGACCAAGCTCGTGGTTTGGGGATCTGGACCTACATACGCCGCCAGTACATACACCAACGGCCTTCCACCAGCATTTGTTCCGGGCAGGATCGACTCGAACGATAGTTCTAAGGCGTCTGTAGCTTCGACAGGTCTCCCAAGCCGGTTCCCAGCCCCATCAAAGTCCCCGATCATGGACAGTCCTTTGCCAAACCGAGCGGCAATGATGACTTTGCCTAGAACGCCTTCCACATCAACACTGGCTTCGGACAGTACGTTCCCAGCACTCAAGCCAGATCCACCAGCGCCGTTGCTGAACTGGGCCGCCAAGGCCGCTGCTCCGCCGCCGCCCGTCACAGAGACCCCCGTGTACAAGCCCGCGAACCGCGAAGAAGTCATCGCACGTAACCGTGCCGGCCAACGCGTCGATCCGCCGTGTAAGGACTACGATAAGGCTGAGGTGGACCGCATGAAGAAGATCAAATTGTGCAACGTTCATTTCCTTCGAGCCGAATGCCCCTACGACACCAAATGCACCCATCTCCATGCGTACAAACCTACCAGCGACGAGTTGGCTACCCTCCGTCTTGTCGCCCGCATGGCACCTTGCAGCAACGGCAGTGTTTGCCAGGATATTAGGTGTATCTATGGCCACCGCTGCCCAGCACCGCCCAACAAGATTCACTACGCCAAGGGCACGAAGAGCTGTATTTTCGGCGAGTCTTGCAAGTTCCCAGCGAGCTTGCATGATATCGACACCAACGTGGTCAAAACCCTGGTTGTTCGCTAGATGGGGGAGTACGGAGGTTTGTGTGACTAAGTCGCCAGGTGGAAGGAGGCTCGATAGAATCTCAGACATTAGCAAGTTTTAACGTACCCTGAATCAAGTGGCCACTCATGAGCACCCCGCAGTCTACATTGGTGTCAACAACGAAGCTTCGCAAACTTGTGATGCAATGTAGGCTTCAGGGTCAAAATATCTTCAATTCGCGCATGGTGTTCAAGGCCAACAGTCCATATTCATTCCCTTTTCCACTCGTCAAACTCTTCATTGAGGTGTTGTTTCAATGCCGCAAACTTATTCTTAAAGTTCTTCCCACATCGCCAACACTTCATGTCCCAACTAGGCCAATCTCCAGGAGAAAACCTCTTACTATCTTCTTCTAGAGGAAACTCGTCTAATTGAACCAGGAAACTACTGTTGAAGCTCAAATAGTGTTTCTTGTGCTTCATCCAGTCTGAATGCATGTCGCGACTGAAGATATGTACGTGTAGATGGTTCATCGAGGGATGTGTATGTACGCCTACTACGATATCCTTAGACCAGTCTCGGCCGGGTGGAAGGAGTGCTGCGCGCTCCTCGGGTGGAGGTGGTGGGTCGGGAGAGCTCATCATTGCCTCGAAAGCCTCGTTGTATGGTTTATCTGAAGCGCTGAAGTCGCCATATTGACGTCGGAGTTCATATGCAGCGAGTTCTTTGAGACGGACGGCGCGTCTTCGTACTTCGGCGAGTAAGGCTGGGTCTGTGGAGAGAGCTTGGAGTGGGTGTTGATCGTAGTAGACCTGTTTTCGCGGAATGAGTAGAAGATGTACGCTTGGAGACCGTCAGCCTACTGTTTATCTCCAGTTATTGGTCACCATCGAAGCATACCTCGCCTTAGGGTACTTGTCGGTTATCACGACAAAGTCCTCATCGTACTCCAGTATTTTGTTCTCGGGGTTCGTCTCGGGGCTCTCGATGTAGACGCCCAGCCCATTCCGGCCGTCCCAACGCTTAGCTGCGTTGGCAGCCTTCTGTGTCGTATTGGGACCATCTGCGGCGGAAATGAGAGGTGATTTTGGTTTCTTCGACTGCGTCATGAGTTCTGTGACTGCACCGTGAGTTAAGGTTGCGCGTTGAGATTATAGGAGGCGTGCAATGAGACGTACATGCATTGGGTCGCTTTGAAGAGGCAGGGTCAATTGCGGGCTGAGCTTGGTTTGCCGTCTCCTTGCTTGCTATCTCTTTGTCCGTAATGGCATCGTGGGTATCCGTCCTGCTTGGGCGGTCCGTCATTGTCGATTTGTTGTCGCGTTTCGGTTTGCGAAAAGATCTCGTATGCTTTTTTGAGGTCTGTATAAACGGCGCGCGAAACAAACGGGCTACTAACAAACTTGGGGCCAGTGGGCGCATGGAAGCTCGTGAATGCTTCGTGAGGGTCTCGTGAAGCAACGATGACGATGAGGCTCGGAGTGGGTCCAAGCGTACCGAGGCATCCCTGCAATCATCGGAATTTCGGATTGCGCATCGCGTTCGAGTGAAAGCGCCAGGAACTCGCGATGGCTGCCATCATAGGTGCTTCTTTCCTCTTTGGACTCGCTGAAGGGTGGTGCAATATTGATCCCGGTGGTTGAGCCCTTTCATTAGCGACTGCGCCCTTCTCACCGCCCACGAACAAATCACAATATCATACCTCCACTCTTTCTTCCTGAGTATACTTCTATGGAGTCCAGGACGTACAACTGCACTATACATATCGCATACGATGCCCAAGAACGCTCACCCACCCCGCGGCAAGCCCGCCAAGAAGACTGTGCCCCCTGAGGAGGATACATCATTCATTGTTTTCGGTGACGCCAAACCCAAGAAGAAGAAGGGCGAGAGTTCTGGTGGAGACGCTGCCCAGAGCGAGAGTAAGGGCAAAGGAAAGCCCGCAGCTGAGGATGGCCCCAAGAAGCCGGATACAAGGACGCTCATCGCTGGCGCATCATGGACAGGAAAGCTCCCGGTCAACCTCCTGGCGGAACACTTCCAGAAACAGCAGTGGAGCAAGCCTGACTATCGCATCGTAAGTAGCCGCGCCGTAGTAACAGGTCATTGCTAATTACAGCAGCGGAAAGATGGCGACCAGCATTTTGCCTACGCTGTGGTACTCTCCAAGATGAACCAGAAGACACGGCAGACCACCACCCTACCTCCCATCAAGATCCCGTCGGAGCTCGAAGAGCAAGCCCATCAGCCTACTGCCGTCGAAGCGCGCAACTTTGCCGCCGCCTATACTCTCTTCCGAGTCGCCAGCGGGAAGAACCTCCACACCATGCTTCCCCCCACGTATAAAGACCTTTGGAAGGGACAATTCATGGACCTCAAGAAGAGGGATGAACAAGAGGGCAAGGGATGGATGTATGAGGCAGACCCCTTCTTCGGTTTTGCGGAAAGGGAGAAGGCTAGGGAAGCAGCAGCAAAGGCGCGTGAGAAGAGACAGAAGCAGCAGGAAGAGGCGCAGAAAGCCCACAACCAACAGCCAGGTGCCGCCATGCCAAGTTCAAACGGTCCAGCGCCTAGCCGGAACTTGCTCAAGGGATGGGAGAGAGTGCCCAAGATCGAACTCGGGAAGAGGACACGCAAAGAGGCAGAGCGTCTCATCCGCCGGGACGCACTCTGGAATCCGAACGGCATCGAAATGAATCCGTCTACAAAGAACCGACTAGTCGAGGAGATCGCGAACCTTGGATTTCGGAGAAGCCACGTCGAGGAGGCCGCCGATATCTGCAAAGATCGCGAGGAGATTATTGAATGGCTTCTCATTCATGTACCTGAAGACGACCTACCATCGTGGTCGTTACCAGAAGGCTACGTTGCTGGCGTCAGTATGGCTAGCTCGAACCTCAAGCGTGAGGGTGCCGTGAAGCGCCTTGCTGCAGCCGGATACTCTATGGACCTTTGCGAAGAAGCATACGATAGTCAAGGCAGTGATGAGAGAAAGGCCGCGGCTTTGCTACAAGCTCGTCTACTCCGACCAGATGAGGAAGAGAGTAGCCTAGTACAAGATCTGGAAGATCTCTCGCTGAGCAATGGTGAGCCTGAGACGTCTTCGGAGGACGATCCGTGGGAGGTGGAGATGTCATCACTTGAGGCAATATACGACGGTCTGTTTTCGCGCCCTGCGCCAGAATCTTGTCGCATCGAGCTAGACGTTAAGCAACAAGGAAAGCGACTCATACTACAGGTTAGGAAGCCTTTCGGTCCTTACCCCGCGGTCGTGCCCATCATCACGTTCGAGGCGGCCATTCCAGCATATATTCGTTTGAGCATCATTCGCCAAGCGCTTCTCCACGCTGAAGCCAACTTTATTGGCATGCCTATGGTATACGATATCGTAGACTGGATCCAAACAAACGCTGGTGATATCTTCCAGAACCCAGGAAGATTGACCGATGTTTCATCTGGCCTTGCAGCAGCAGATCACTCGTCGGAACAGCAAAGTCAAAAACGAAGAGCAAAGGGACGACCCAGAAGGCCTATCGACTGGACACCCGCCACGCCTACTAGCCAAAGGATGTTGTCTGATTGGCAAGCGAAGCAAAAATCTGCAGCTCAGCAAAAGATGATGAACGCTCGGCAGTCATTACCTGCGTGGAGGTTGAGGGATGAAATCGTCCGCACAGTCAACGACTGTAAGGTCACGATCATCTCAGGTGAGACTGGATCGGGAAAATCGACTCAATCGGTGCAGTTCGTCCTCGATGATCTGATACAGCGACAGCTTGGTGCTGTTGCGAACATCATTTGCACCCAGCCACGCAGAATTTCCGCGCTTGGTCTTGCTGATCGTGTGGCCGATGAGCGATGCTCTCAGGTCGGCGACGAGATTGGGTACACTATCCGTGGAGAATCCAAGCAGAAGCCCGGAGTTACCAAGATCACTTTCGTAACGACTGGTGTTCTTTTAAGACGTCTTCAAACGTCGGGTGGCAATGCCGACGATGTCGTTGCCGCCCTGGCCGATGTCAGTCACGTTGTCGTCGACGAGGTTCACGAGCGTAGTTTGGACACGGACTTTTTGCTCGTTCTTTTGCGCCAGATCCTACGAAAGCGGCAAGATCTCAAGGTCATCTTGATGAGTGCCACTCTCGATGCTGCTGTTTTCGAAGCGTACTTCAAAGAGGTTGGGCCTGTGGGCCGTGTCGAGATTGAAGGTCGCACTCATCCTGTGACGGACTACTATGTCGATGATGTCGTACATTTCACCGGGTTCAAGGGATATGGTATGGGCGACGAAGATGCTTCCGAAGACAAATCGTTCTCAGCAAATCTCCGGAGTATCGGATTCGGCATCAACTACGACCTCATCGCGGAGACTGTTCGTCACATTGACCGCCAGCTAGGGGCCAAGGACGGGGGTATACTTATCTTCCTTCCTGGTACCATGGAGATCGACCGCACGCTCCAAGCGCTCAGTCAATTCGCAAACCTCCATGCATTGCCTCTACATGCATCGCTCATGCCAGTCGAGCAAAAGCGTGTGTTCCCTCCCGCTCCTCACGGCAAGCGTAAGGTCATCGCGTGTACCAACGTCGCAGAAACGTCGATCACTATCGAGGATATCGTCGCTGTCATCGACACAGGTAGGGTCAAGGAGACAAGCTATGATCCGCAAAACAACATGGTTCGCCTTGCCGAAACCTGGGCCTCAAGGGCAGCATGCAAACAGCGACGAGGTCGAGCGGGGCGTGTCCGAGCAGGCGACTGCTACAAGCTGTACACACGCAACGCTGAAGCCAAGATGATGGAGCGACCGGATCCGGAGATTCGCCGTGTGCCACTTGAGCAGATGTGTCTGTCCATCAAGGCAATGGGGGTGCAGGACGTTACAGGCTTCCTTGCTTCAGCGCTCACACCGCCAGAGAGTACAGCGGTAGAGGGTGCTATCCAATTGCTCTCGCAGATGGGTGCCATTACAGATGACGAACTCACTGCACTTGGCCGACACATGTCTATGATCCCAGCAGATCTCCGACTGGGCAAGCTTCTCGTATATGGCGCGACGTTTGGCTGCCTTGAAGCTGTGCTGACGATCGCGTCTGTTCTCACGGCTCGCAGCCCTTTCATATCACCACGAGAGCGAGATCAGGAGACTCGGAATGAGTTCGACCGTCTCCGCGCTTCCTTCTCCAACAATCAAGGTGATCTGCTTGTAGACCTGCGAGCATACGAACAGTGGTCTGCATTACGCAGTAAAGGGACGTCAACACGAGATCTCCGCTTCTGGTGTCAAGACAACCGACTGAACCCTCAAACCATGTTCGATATAGCGTCTAATCGCACCCAGTACTTGTCGTCTCTCAAGGAGATCTCATTCATTCCCACCCATTACTCTTCCGCGAACCCTTCCACACACTCATACTACAACAAACATAACGCAAATGACGCCCTCTTACGTGCGCTGATCGCTGGATCCTTCAACCCACAAATCGCACGCATCCAGCTCCCCGACAAGAAGTTTGCGGCTGGTATAGCAGGAGCTGTAGAGCTCGATCCCTCGGCTCGCGAAATCAAGTACTTCAACCAAGAAAACGGACGCGTGTTCGTTCACCCCTCATCCACACTCTTCTCCAGCCAGACCTTCCCCCACAACGCTTCATTCATTGCGTACTTCAACAAGATGGCTACAAGTAAAGTCTTCATCAGAGATATCACGCCGTTCAATGCATACAGTCTGCTGTTGTTTGCTGGAGAGATCAAGGTTGATACGCTAGGCAGGGGCTTGGTGGTTGATGAGTGGATTAGGCTGAGGGGTTGGGCCAGGATTGGTGTGTTAGTTAGTCGGTTGAGGGGTATGTTGGATGGTGTGCTGGAGAGCATGGTGAAGGAACCAGGGATGGGAGTTAGCAATAGGCAGAGCGAGGTTATTGATGTTGTTAGATGGATGGTTGAGAGGGATGGATTAGACGCTTAGACGCTCGCGTTCTCACTAGACGGGACTGTTAGATCAGAGGGTACGGTTCGCATTACACTAGCCGTTTGAGTGAATGAACCAATTACTCCGGTACAAATTTGGCTGCAAAATAGGCTTTAGGGCTTGTTGGGTGCTCTTTCCGTTTACGCCCTGCAGATGCCAATCGTCAACAGAAGCAAGGGTTAGGGCGGGGTGAAGGTCACGGATGTCGCTTCCTCGACATCCTACACTCACACCTGGGCACACTCACATCGAAAAGGATAAAGCGTAACGTCATACCAGCTGTCATTTCAATAATGGTACCATTTTAATCCCTCCTGTGTCAACGCACTTTTGT